TGATTTCAGTGCAGCAACTTAAAAGGTGACACTAATATATGAGACTCATTCCATGCAAAGCAAGATAGTTCAAGCCGTGATTTGTCATCATTGTGATGATTATGGCTTACAGCTCATGAAAACCCCAAATCCACAATCTCAGAAAATGAGAATATTCCATGCAATCAATAAAAACACGGATTGTACATAGAACAATATCGGACCTCTGAAAAGTAGAAGCTGCATATGTACTCAGGACTTGGTTGGGGCCCCTTTTGTAGCAATTACTGCCTCAATGCGGCGTGGCATGGAAGCTATCAGCCTGTGGCACTGCTGAGGTGTTATGGAAGACCAGGATGCTTCAATAGCGGCCTTCAGCTCTTCTGCATTGTTCGGTCTCATGTCTCTCATCTTTCTCTTGGCAATGCCCCATAGATTCTCTATGGCAGTGGTTCTCAACCTTTCTAATGCCGCGACCCCTTTATACAGTTCCTCATGTTGTGGTGACCCCCAACCATAAAATTATTTTCATTGCTACTTCATAACTGTAATTTTGCAGTGGGAGGAGTAGTGCCATGTCATTGGTGTCAGTGGAAGGAATAGTGCCCCATTGTTGGTATCAGTGGGAGGAATAGTGTCCCATCATTGATGTCAGTGGGATGAATAGTGCCCCATCATTGGTGTCAGTGGGAGGAATAGTGCCCCATCATTGGTGTCAGTGGGAGGAATAGTGATCCATCATTGGTGTCAGTGGGGGGAATAGTGCCCCATCATTGGTAACAGTGGGAGGAATAGTGCCCCATCATTGGTAACAGTGGGAGGAATAGTGCCCCATCGTTGGTATCAGTGGGAGGAATAGTGTCCCATCATTGATGTCAGTGGGAGGAATAGTGCCCCATCGTTGGTGTCAGTGGTAGGAATAGTGCCCCATCATTGGTATCAGTGGGAGGAATAGTGCCCCATCGTTGGTATCAGTGGGAGGAATAGTGCCCCATCGTTGGTATCAGTGGGAGGAATAGTGCCCCATCGTTGGTATCAGTGGGAGGAATAGTGTCCCATCATTGATGTCAGTGGGAGGAATAGTGCCCCATCGTTGGTGTCAGTGGTAGGAATAGTGCCCCATCATTGGTATCAGTGGGAGGAATAGTGCCCCATCGTTGGTATCAGTGGGAGGAATAGTGCCCCATCGTTGGTATCAGTGGAGGAATAGTGCCCCATCGTTGGTATCAGTGGGAGGAATAGTGCCCCATCGTTGGTATCAGTGGGAGGAATAGTGCCCCATCATTGGTGTCAGTGGGGGGAATAGTGCCCCGTCATTGGTGTAAGTGGGAGGAATAGTGCCCCATCACTGATGTCAGTGGGATGAATAGTGCCCCATCACTGGTGTCAGTGGGAGGAATAGTGCCCCATCACTGGTGTCAGTGGGAGGAATAGTGCCCCATCACTGATGTCAGTGGGATGCATAGTGCCCCATCGTTGGTATCAGTGGGAGGAATAGTGCCCCATCACTGGTGTCAGTGGGAGGAGTAGTGCTCCATCACTGGTGTCAGTGGGAGGAATAGTGCCACATCATTGGTGTCAGTGGGAGGAATAGTGCCCCATCATTGGTGTCAGTGGGGGGAGTAGTGCCCCATCATTGGTGTCAGTGGGAGGAATAGTGCCCCATCACTGGTGTCAGTGGAAGGAATAGTGCCACATCATTGGTGTCAGTGGGAGGAATAGTGCCCCATCATTGGTGTCAGTGGGAGGAATAGTGCCCCATCATTGATGTCAGTGTGGTGGAGGGGAGAATAGTGCCCCATCATTGGGGTCAGGGGGGGGGAAATAGTGCCCCATCGTTGGTGTCAGTGGGGGGAGGAATAGTGCCCCATCGTTGGTGTCAGTGGGGGGAGGAATAGTGCCCCATCGTTGGTGTCAGTGGGGGGAGGAATACTGCCCCATCGTTGGTGTCAGTGGGGGGAGGAATACTGCCCCATCGTTGGTGTCAGTGGGGGGAGGAATACTGCCCTATCGTTGGTGTCAGTGGGGGGAGGAATACTGCCCCATCGTTGGTGTCAGTGGGGGGAGGAATACTGCCCCATCGTTGGTGTCAGTGGGGGGAGGAATACTGCCCCATCGTTGGTGTCAGTGGGGGGAGGAATAGTGCCCCATCACTGGTGTCAGTGGGAGGAATAGTGCCCCATCACTGATGTCAGTGGGATGCATAGTGCCCCATCGTTGGTATCAGTGGGAGGAATAGTGCCCCATCACTGGTGTCAGTGGGAGGAGTAGTGCTCCATCACTGGTGTCAGTGGGAGGAATAGTGCCACATCATTGGTGTCAGTGGGAGGAATAGTGCCCCATCATTGGTGTCAGTGGGGGGAGTAGTGCCCCATCATTGGTGTCAGTGGGAGGAATAGTGCCACATCATTGGTGTCAGTGGGAGGAATAGTGCCCCATCATTGGTGTCAGTGGGAGGAATAGTGCCCCATCATTGATGTCAGTGTGGTGGAGGGGAGAATAGTGCCCCATCATTGGGGTCAGGGGGGGGGAAATAGTGCCCCATCGTTGGTGTCAGTGGGGGGAGGAATAGTGCCCCATCGTTGGTGTCAGTGGGGGGAGGAATAGTGCCCCATCGTTGGTGTCAGTGGGGGGAGGAATAGTGCCCCATCGTTGGTGTCAGTGGGGGGAGGAATACTGCCCCATCGTTGGTGTCAGTGGGGGGAGGAATACTGCCCCATCGTTGGTGTCAGTGAGGGGAGGAAATACTGCCCCATCGTTGGTGTCAGTGGGGGGAGGAATACTGCCCATCGTTGGTGTCAGTGGGGGGAGGAATACTGCCCCATCGTTGGTGTCAGTGGGGGGAGGAATACTGCCCCATCGTTGGTGTCAGTGGGGGGAGGAATACTGCCCCATCGTTGGTGTCAGTGGGGGGAGGAATACTGCCCCATCGTTGGTGTCAGTGGGGGGAGGAATACTGCCCCATCGTTGGTGTCAGTGGGGGGAGGAATACTGCCCCATCGTTGGTGTCAGTGGGGGGAGGAATACTGCCACATCGTTGGTGTCAGTGGGGGGAGGAATAGTGCCCCATCGTTGGTGTCAGTTGGGGGAGGAATAGTGCCCCATCGTTGGTGTCAGTGGGGGGGGAGGAATAGTGCCCCATCGTTGGTGTCAGTGGGGGGAGAGTAGTGCCCCATCGTTGGTGTCAGTGGGAGGAATAGTGCCCCATCACTGGTGTCAGTGGAAGGAATAGTGCCACATCATTGGTGTCAGTGGGAGGAATAGTGCCCCATCATTGGTGTCAGTGGGAGGAATAGTGCCCCATCATTGATGTCAGTGTGGTGGAGGGGAGAATAGTGCCCCATCATTGGGGTCAGGGGGGGGGGAAATAGTGCCCCATCGTTGGTGTCAGTGGGGGGAGGAATAGTGCCCCATCGTTGGTGTCAGTGGGGGGAGGAATAGTGCCCCATCGTTGGTGTCAGTGGGGGGAGGAATACTGCCCCATCATTGGTGTCAGTGGGGGGAGGAATACTGCCCCATCTTTGGTGTCAGTGGGGGGAGGAATACTGCCCCATCGTTGGTGTCAGTGGGGGGAGGAATACTGCCCCATCGTTGGTGTCAGTGGGGGGAGGAATACTGCCCCATCGTTGGTGTCAGTGGGGGGAGGAATACTGCCCCATCGTTGGTGTCAGTGGGGGGAGGAATAGTGCCCCATCGTTGGTGTCAGTGGGGGGAGGAATAGTGCCCCATCGTTGGTGTCAGTGGGGGGAGGAATAGTGCCCCATCGTTGGTATTAGTGACACCAATGATGGGGCACTATTCCTCCCACTGACACCAATGATACTTACTTTGCTGACCCCTGCTCCAGCCTGGGCTCGCTCTCTCACTTACCTGTCAGCTGTCTTCCTTCTCTGGCCGCTCTCCTCTTCACTCGCTCCGGCAGCTCCCTCGGTCTTCTTCGATCTCCGCGCGCTGCCGCTCGGCTCCTCCTCTCCAAGCTCCACCTCCTCGCCGGTGATTGGCCGCCTGTGTGCCTCTCCTGAGCTACAGTTCCGGTGGCCAATCAGCGGCGAGGAGGCGGAGCTGCTGAGCGATCCCGGAGACAGGAGCAGAGTATCATCCCGCCCACACATCGCCGGAGACAGCAGCGGTGTCTCACTTCCTAAGACCATCGGAAATATGTGTTTTCCGATGGTCTTAGGCGACCCCTGGGAAATGGTCGTTCGACCCCCAAAGGGGTCGCGACCCCCAGGTTGAGAACCGCTGCTCTATGGGGTTCAGGTCAGGCAAGTTTTTTGGCCAATCAAACACAGTAATCCCACGGTCATTGAACCAGGTTTTGGTGCTTTTGGCAGTGTGGGCGGAGCCAAGTCCTGCTGGAAAATGAAGTCAGCATCCCCATAAAGCATCCCGTCTGCGGAAGGAAGCATGAAGTGCTCCAAAATCTCCTGGTAGACGGATGCATTGACCCTGGACTTAATGAAGCACAGTGGACCAACACCAGCAGATGACATGGCTCCCCAAATCAACACAGACTGTGGAAACTTCACACTGGACTTCAAGCATCTTGCAGTGTGCGCCTCTCCATTCTTCCTCCATACTCAGGGTCCTTGTGCCTCTCCATTCTTCCTCCATACTCTGGGTCCTTGGGCCTCTCCATTCTTCCTCCATACTCGGGGTCCTTGGGCCTCTCCATTCTTCCTCCATACTCGGGGTCCTTGTGCCTCTCCATTCTTCCTCCATACTCGGGGTCCTTGGGCCTCTCCAATCTTCCTCCATACTCGGGGTCCTTGGGCTCTCTACATTCTTCCTCCATACTCGGGGTCCTTGTGCCTCTCCATTCTTCCTCCATACTCTGGGTCCTTGGGCCTCTCCATTCTTCCACCATACTCGGGGTCCTTGTGCCTCTCCATTCTTCCTCCATACTCGGGGTCCTTGTGCCTCTCCATTCTTCCTCCATACTCGGGGGTGTCCTTGGGCCTCTCCATTCTTCCTCCATACTCGGGGTCCTTGTGCCTCTCCATTCTTCCTCCATACTCCATGTCCTTGGGCCTCTCCATTCTTCCACCATACTCGGGGTCCTTGTGCCTCTCCATTCTTCCTCCATACTCCGTGTCCTTGGGCCTCTCCATTCTTCCTCCATACTCGGGGTCCTTGGGCCTCTCCATTCTTCCTCCATACTCCGTGTCCTTGGGCCTCTCCATTCTTCCACCATACTCGGGGTCCTTGTGCTTGTGCCTCTCCATTCTTCCTCCATACTCCGTGTCCTTGGGCCTCTCCATTCTTCCTCCATACTCGGGGTCCTTGGTTTCCAAATGTGATGCAAAAGTTGATCTCATCAGAAAAGAGGACTTTGGACCACTGAGCAGCAGACCAGGTGTGTTTCTTTAGCCCAGGTAAGACGCTTCTGACGTTTTTGTTGTTCAGGAGCGGCTTGACAAGAGGAATACGACATTTGAAACCCATGTCCAGGATCCGTCTGTGTGTGGTGGCTCTTGATGCACTGACTCCAGCCTCAGTCCATTCCTTGTCCCCAACACTTTTGAATGGCCTTTTCCTGACAATCCTCTCCAGGCTGCGGTCATCCCTGCTGCTTGTGCACCTTTTTCTTCCACACTTTTCCCTTCCACATAACTTTCTGTTAATGTGCTTTGATACAACACTTTGGGAACATCCAACTTCTTCTGCAATGACCTTTTGAGGCTTTCCCTCCTTATGTCAGTGATGGTGTCAGGACAGCAGTCTTTCCCATGATTGTGATTCCTACTGAACCAGACTGAGAGACCATTTAAAGGCTCAGTTACCCTTTGCAGGGGTTATGGCTGAATTAGCTGATTAGAGTGGGACACTTTGAGCCGAGAATATTCCACCTTTTCACAATATTCTCATTTTCTGAGATTGTGGATTTGGGGTTTTCATGAGCTGTAAGCCATAATCATCACAATGATGACAAATCACGGCTTGAACTATCTTGCTTTGCATGTGATGAGTCTATCTCATATATTAGTTTCATCTTTTAAGTTGCTGCCCTGAAATAAATGAACTTTTGTATGATATTCTAATTTTTCGAGTTTCACCTGTAGTGTTAATAAAACACCAAGAAAAAAACAGGAAGCAAATAGGAAAAAAAAAGTATTACAAATATTAATCATGCAATGTATACCGGACAATGACATAAAGACCCTGATTTACTATTGTGCCTAGGCACATTTTCCGTGGGCGAACGTCTACTTTTAATAGCAACCGTCTACTTTCAGACTGCAAAGACATTTACTAAAGAAAGCGTCAACAAGTAGATGCCACTGCATAAGGCTGGTAGCCTCTGTCGAAGCAGAACATCTTTTCTTTTTTTCGGGCTGCTACAGCGTGACGCCGTGATTGACGTTGGATCTCCTTCGGGGGACATTGTTTTATTAAAGGACTTGTCAAAGACCGTCCTGTGGTTTTTTACACTACACTTTGTTTTTTTGTGAATTAGTAGCGGTACCATGTACTGCATACTCATTCACGTGGGGGGGGGCCGGGATCTGGGGGCCCCCTTGTTAAAGGTGGCTTCCAGATTCTGATAAGCCCCCCCACCCGCAGACCCCCACAACCACCGGCCAGGGTTGTGGGGAAGAGGTCCTTGTCCCCATCAACATGGGGACAAGGTGCTTTGGGGGGGAGACTCCCTGCCCCAAAGCACCCCCCCTTGTTGAGGGAATGTGGCCTGGTATGGTTCAGGAGGGGGGGGCACTCGTCCCCCCCTTTCCTGACCTGCCGGGCTGCATACTCGGATAAGGGTCTGGTATGGATTTTGGGGGGAACCCCACGCCGTTTTTTTTTAAATTTCAGCGTGGAGTTACCCCTTAATATCCATACCAGACCAGAAGGGCTTGGTATGGATGGGAAAGGGGACCCCACACCGTTTTTTAAATTTTTTTTTTATAATTCCCTACAATGCTTTTACATTCAATTGTCAGTGGGAATACTAAAACGCTGCATGAGTTGATAAAATAACTCTTGCGGGATTTTAGTAGTGACAACCATGTGTTAATGTTTCAGCTGTCAGCGGGGTTCCCCACTGACAGCTGAATGTAAAATAATTCCCGTAAATTAAATAAATAATTAAAAACACGGCGTGGGGTCCTTCGGGTCTGGTATGGATTAAGGGGTAACTCCACACCGAAATTATTCTGATAAGCCCCCCTGCCCAAAGCACCCCCCATGTTAAGGGCATGTGGCCTGGTATGGTTCAGGAGAGGGGGGGCACTCACTCGCCGCCCCCCCCCTTTCCAGACCTGCCGGGCTGCATGCTCAGGTAAGGATCTGGTATGGATTTTGGGGGGACTCCATGTTGTTTTTTTTTTTTTTCATTTCGGCGTGGAGTTACCCCTTAAGATACATACCAGACCCGAAGGGCTTGGTGTGGATGGGAGGAGGGACCCCACACTGTTTTTTTTACATTTTGGCGTGGAGTTACGCCTTAAGATCCATATGAGACCCAAAGGGCTTGGTGTGGATGGGAGGGGGGACCCCTGAAGGGCTTGGTGTGGATGGGAGGGGGGACCCCTGAAGGGCTTGGTGTGGATGGGGGGGACCCCACACCAGTTTTTATTTATTATGGTGCTGGTTTTTTAAATGTAATTCTCCCTTTTTTTCTTCACTATAGCTCAGAAATTCACCTGTCACTTCCCCCGGCTAAAAGAGAAAGTTTTCTTGGAATTTATATCCCTAAAGGAAACAATGTTTACTTTGAGTTCATTAAAAGATACAAAGTTTTCTGTAACTTCGGGGAAAGTGACTTCTAAGCTTGTGAACTATAGTGAAGAAAAAAAAAAAGGCGGCATTTGCATTTGAAAATCAGCGCCGACATAGACTTTGTATTGTGAAAAAAATATTAACAATTGTGTAAACCGAGGCGTTATTTTCAACGGATTTTCATTCGTAAACCAAACATTCCGTTCCCCGAGGCGTTGGGACCCCGAGGTACGCCTGTATTAGTATTGTAATCCTTTGTATTGGGATACAGACAACCAACATACATGTGAATTGGTAACATAGCACAACATTTGTGTCACATGGGAGATATCTGGTAGTTACACTGACCTTGCCCAGGGACCTAGGATTGATTCACAGCACAGAAATACAGGCAGGATTAGTGTCACAGCTCCGTGGATTAGTGGTTAGCACTGCTGTCTCACAATGCTAGGGTTGTTGGTTTGAATCCCAACCACAGCAATGAATTTGCATGATCTCCATGTGACAACCCTAACATACATGTGCTGGTGGCAGCATCTTTGTTTTCTGTCTAAATGATCCCTAGAATGTGAATTAGAATGAGGCCTTGTCTGTTCAATCACCTTCAATGCTGCACCTTATGTGAATGTCATACGATGGGAGGAGATAAGGGCCAGGACTAATGATTGATTGGATAATGCTGGGTTACTCCGCCCCCTTTTGGGAAGGTTTGTCAAACCATGAGAAGAGTGAGCGAGAGAGAGAAAAGGATTTAAAAAAAAAAAAAAAAAAATAATGGCATGGAGTCCCCCACCCCAAATCGTAACAGACCCTTATCTGAGCATGCAGATACCGCACGCCTTCTAGGATTTATTTCCTTTGTTGAATTGCCTGCTTGGTTCACACTCGATGCGATTTAAAAGTGTGCTTTTTGTTGGCATTTTCACTGCATTTTCTGTAGATTTTCTGTAGATTTCTGTAGATTCAGTTATTGCGTTTTCAATTGTGTTTTGCATTGCGGTTTCTATTGTAGTCTATATATGTGAAATCGCTACAAAATGCTGAAAAAGTTAGACGAGAACTACTTTTGAAATTGTGCTGCAGCAAATCGCTTACGTTAAGACACTCACATCCACATTCATTAGATCGGATATCAGGTACAATTTCAATTCCCAAATCGCACCTGAAATCGTGCACCCTGGATGCGACTTGGCATGCGATTTGCATGCCTTGCGACTTGCAAATCGCATGCCAAATTGCACCCGATGTGACTGGGGGCTAACACCCCAGTCACATCTAATCCGATTTGGAAATTGGGCAACTTACAGTGAAGTCGCATGATTTCAAAATCAGATTGGATGTGAATGGAGCCTATAGTGGACAATAGGGTGCAACTTGGCCAACGATTTGCAAACCGCCTAGCATGTAAATCGCATGCCAAATTGCACCCGATGTGACTGGGGGCCACCCCGGTCACATCAAAGCGGATTTTAAAGTGGTGCGACTTACACTACAGTCACATCATGGGATTTACAGTGAAGTCACATGATTTCAAAGTCAGGGGACTTGCGATTTGCAAGACATCTGACACAGATCTTTCTGCAAATCGCATGAAAAGTCATGTATTCATTGCTTTAGAAATTGTTGCGGCTCCAACCAAGTTTGAACCACACCAATATAAACGCTCTAATAGCGGTCACATGGAGTGCAACTTGGTATGTGATTTGCATGACATGCGACTTACAAATCGTATGCCAAGTCGCACCCTATTGTCTGCTATTAGAGGGTCACATGGGTGCGTTTCTGACACTGATTTCTATAGTAGTACATGGACGACTTTTGTGGCGATTTGCATACAGTTGCAAGAAAAAGTATGTGAACCCCTTGGGATAACTTGGAGTTTTGCAAGAATTGGGCATAAAATGTGCTCTGAACGTCATCTAAGTCTCAACAATAGAAGAACACAGTCTGCTGAACATAATACTACACAAACATTAGATGTTGCCATGGTTTAATTGCACATAACATGTAAACATGTAAACATTCACAGTGCAGGGAGGAAAAAGTATGTGAACCTTTGGACTTAATAACTGGTTGACCCTCCTTTGGCAGCAATACCCTCAACCAAACGTTTCCTGTAGTTGCAGATCAGACCTGCACAACGATCTGGAGTCATTTTGGACCACTCCTCTTCACAAAACTGTTTCAGTGTAGCAATATTCTTGGGATGTCTGGTGTGAATCGCTCCTTAAGGTCATGCCACAGCATTTTAATGGGGTTGAGGTCAGGACTCTGACTGGGCCACTCCAGAAGGCGTATTCTGTGCTGTTGCAGCCATTGT